CACGGTCTTGACGCGAGAGTTGGTTGGAGCAAGCTTCAATTCTAGTGTCTTTGCGGCAGCCCAATCACGAAATTATGAGTTTCTCCAGTATCCACCACTGCACGAGCGGGCTTGTTGTTGATGGTGAGATCCACGTACTGATTTCCATTCTCGGTAGGTTGGATAGCTTGCTTTGTGACATCACCACATAATCCGATCATACCCAACTGTGCGGTTCCCGGACTCTCTCCTTGTGGCTGCTCCTTCCGTTGCTCTTGAGGTCAGGACAATTTCCTTAAGCCGTGTGCCCTCCGCATATATAGCATTTCTTCTTCTCGGCCTGCGCCTTCTTCTCGGCGTAGCTCTGACGGCCACTCGATTTTTGGAATCTTGAGTCTTCGAGTATTGTTGTTGTATCTCCTGCCTTTGCCACGGTCTCCCCCACCTTTGACATAGCTAACCTTTAACTCCTTGCCTTTGCCTTTGTCGTGCTTGTCATGCCTGAAATTCCCATCAATGATTCAGCCTCTACTATGGCTTGGTCTATATCCGCGACTTGCCGACGTTGTAACTCCTGTTTAGCCCAATTTTGAAACTCGTCCATGAAGTGGAACAACAATTCATCATTGGTCAGGTTGGGAATTTGAAGCATAAGGGTAGTGAATTGCTTGACATAGCACGTATGCTCCCTGTTTGCTTCAACTCCCTGAGCTTGCGCCTTGCCTCGTACAAGACATTGTTTGGAAAGAATTGTCGCTGTGAACTCGGCTTATAACTGGTCCCACGTGCTAATAGTACATAGACCTTTATCCATGTCGGCCATCTTCCTTCTCCACCATAACATGGAAGTTCTGAGAGATACAACACGACAGTGTTGATCTTGGTCTCGTCGTCCCTCAATTTTCTGTGCCTGAAGTAGTTCTCCCAATGTGCCAAATGAAGTTTTCCACTTCTTGTGCATCACGAACACCTTTGAACACCGGGGATTTGGGAGCCTCAATCTTGGCTCCCTCGTCACTACAACATTGCTAGCTGCCTCGGTCACGCCAGCATTGACATGCTCCTCGAGTGACTCCATCTTTTGCCTTCATAGCATCGATAGTACTCAAAGCCTCCTGAGTCTGCACTCTAAGGCATGATGGTTTGCCTTAGTTCCATCTCGCTCTGTGTACGTCCCTCCAAGTCATTTCGGATACTCTCTATCTCTTTCAAGAGTGTGCCCCTCAAAACACTAAGGGTGCCTTCCATCCTCCCCAAGCGTTGGCCAAAGATCTCCACGGCGTCCATCCCCCGCGTTCATCTTCATCACCCACTCTTTGCCGAGCGAGACGTCCTCAAGCAGGACCTCCATTTCATCCTCGCTCGCCTCGGTGGCAGATGGTTCTTGGGATTAAGCCCTTCGTTCGACACAACCTCGGTTGGCACCTCCTGGCTCTTGTTGGTGGCATTCCTCTTTTTGTTACGGTCGCTCTTGCCAGCAACATCCTGGATGACGTTGGCTTGGGTGTTAGAAACGTTAATTTTCTCCATCGTTCTCCATTCCCTTAGTTGCAAACCTTTGCTCTGATACCACGATGTCACGTCCTTAGTTCTAAACTAAGTACACGTGTGGCACTTGACAACTCGCTCCACGATCTTGCACAACTTGCTCATGTTCTTGCTATGCCAAGTAAAGCCTTACTACACTCAAGATCGCTAAGAGAATGGTAAAAGAACACAAGAGAATTGTTAAAAGAAGAGCTTTGTATTAGAGAGAACTTGAATTGTTTGCTTGGTGATTACAAATGAATGAGCCCCCCCCCCCCCCCCTCTTTATATATTAGTCTCCTAGGGGCTAGTGTGTAAATATTAATTATTACACCAAGTCTTTAATATTTACAAGATAAGGGCTTTCTCTAGAATTCTTTTATAACCCTAGAAGATTCCAAGGACTTTCCTAGCAAATCCATAAGGATCTAGGTTCTTCCTAAGGAAATGTCCATACTTCTCTAGAATCTTCTCGCAAATACTAGCCTTCTTCTATGTAAGCTTCCACATGGCATTAATATATGTCAAATGGCGCATATGTGGCATGATGACATGGCGGGTCATCACACTCGGTCCATAATAAGTAACCAATTGTTTTGGACACACCCATTAAGAAAATACTAAATTCTAGACGAAAATAGTTAGTGTGACTAAACTACCCTTCATTAATTGTTGCACCAATAGTAATAGTAGCACTTACTTCTCTTCTCAAATGTGAGGAGATGACTTTTTAGGGATACGTACGTAAGGGTAATTTTGGGAAAACAAATTAAATTTTTTTTCTTGATTATATAAATAGACACTTATTTTGAACCAAAATAAAAAATCAAATTGATCACTTATTGTTGACCGGGGAGTAGTACTTACTCTCTCCGGTCCACAATAAGTGACTTTTTTGTTGTTTTCACACAGACTAAGAAATTCACCTTTTAACATTAATTAGCAATGATATTGACCATATTAACCTTTACTATCTCTTCACAATAAATACTCCTAACACATACTCCAACACAATTTATCCAAGGCAATGTAGGGAAAAAATAATTAATTCATTCTTGAAATCTGAATAAATCACTTATTTTGGACCACAAAAAAATCACTTATTGTGGACGGGAGGGAGTAGGGGTGTTCATGGTTCGGTTTGGATCGGTTTTTTCCTAAAAGAAACCAAAACCAAGTAGTCGGTTTTTCAAATATTAGAACAAACCAAACAATTAAGTCGGTTTTTTCTCGATTCAGTTTATGTCGGTTTTGTCGGTTTTTCGATTTTTTCGGTTATTTGTCGGTTTTTTTTCATAAATATAAGACATACACTACCAAAACATATTTCGGCGACCACATTTTCAACGTAACACTATCAAATCAATTGCCCTTTGAGAAATCTATTATTTACCAAGATATATTGATGATAATTGAATCAAATAGTGATGAATAATTTAAGGACTCAACTAAAAAATATATTATTTTTAACACGAAAACGGATTCTTACACTTAACAAAATAAAAACTATCAATCAATGTAAAAGTAAAAAACTATACTAAAAGTGCAATTATTAACGTTCACCATAAAAATTTTAAAAACTTTGTATAAAAATACACACACACAATCATTGTGTGGTGTGTGTGTAATAATAATTATTAACGTATATATATAATATATAATAATATATATATATATATATATATATATATATATAATATAATTAATATTATATATATATATATATATATATATGTGTGGTGTGTGTGTGTGTGTGTGTGTGTGTGTGTGTAAAAATAAATTGAAATAAGCTACTCCTATAGTCGGTTTGGTTCAGTTTTTTTCGATTTTTCTGATTAAAACCAAAACCAAATCAAATTTGAATGGTTTTTAAAATTCAAAACCAAAACCAAACCAAACCAAAAAGTATCGGTTTTTCGGTCGGTTTGGTTTGGTTTTCGGTTTGGTTTCGATTTTTCGGATTTTTATGAACACCCCTAGGAGGAGTAGTACGTGTGTGACTCAGTATACAGTCAAATGAAATTGGGCTAAGTCCTTTCAGATGGATATCAACGTTCCTTAATTTGCTCAAAAGAGATAAGGTTATAACCAAATGACTTGCAAAGATTTTAATTTCTTTTTGTTTTCCCAGCATATATAAATCAAAAGCTGAGCCGATTGCTTTGGCGGCAAGAAATATAGTCTCTTTTTTTGTTCTTTTTTTTTTTAAACACAGTCAAGCAACATATACTATGACTTAAATCAAGATTATGTCACAAGGCCAATCAATAAGCTACAATGCAACATATATAGATCAAGTATTATTGAAAGACGCGGGTAAGATAGTTTCTGTTAATTTGCAATATTAATTTCCATTAAATTACCCTTGTTATTTTTGATGAATATTATAATTAAGATGGGAATGGTCAATAAACACGGTTTCCCTATATATTATATATACATTTTCCTTGACTCGTTCATTTCCATCACAAACACTGATTTCAAGCAACTCTCATACAAAAAACCTGTTTTGTTACTAAAATCCGATTCCGTTTTGTTTCTCATCCCAGTCTTTCCACAACACTTAAAAGTTTACTTGTTTTGTTAGGTTCTGGACTCCAACATCTCCTAATTAATTGTCCTAGATCTCGCTTTGTTGTATATCAAGACACAATCTCCAGTAATAGAAACGGGTAAGCTTCTTTGCTTCTTAATTATTTAACTTCTTGTTCCTTTTCAGAATTTAACAATAGGCATTAAGCAATAAATCGGTTTTCTGCTAAAGTGTCATGTATATTGAAAATTTGAAATCAGCTACCATCATATATATCCTTTTTTGTAGTAGTATTGGCAATCGGCTTCCAATTTATACATTTTTTTTACCAAGATACAATGTTGTAGCTGATAAATGGACCTTGAGCCTAACTCAACTCCAAAAGCTAGCTCATGAGAATTGCTCAAGAGCATGTAAGAAGCCTAGGAAATCCACATCCCATTGGTGTGGGACTCAACCTCCCCCCCCCCCTC